TGGGCCACCCGCGAGTCCATCCGCCGCAGCCCCCCAATGCAGCCGCGAGAAGCCGCGGGGGGGCCGGCGATCGAAGGTAACGACAATGGGGCTCATTTCCTGCCGCCTGCTCTTCTGCTCGGGTTCAGCATTGTCACGAGCAGCCCTCGCTGCTCAGGCTGCTGCATTTGGGGGCACCCTTTGATTTTTTTAAGGTGTCCGTCCCGTATTTCCACCTGGCTTGGTTGATGGATAGCACGCAGCCCATGGGGGAGCGATCCAGGGATGGCAAGTTGCATATTTTCATTAGTTTTGTCTCAAAAGTAAGTTCATTTTTTAAAAAAAGTTTCTCAGGAATTTGTGGCTAGTCGTTTTTTAAAGAAATTTTTCTTAAAATAATAGACAAATGGATCATTTTAAAAATTCAAGTAATTGGTGTAATTCTGTTAATTACTTCCTCGGGCTTTACTTTTGTGGGCTCCCCGGGCGCTACTTTTATTTTCAAGGAACCGCCGAGGTGAATGTGGAGTTGGGCTCGGGCAGTTTCCAGCATTGCTGTCGCAACTGTGTTGCCATCAATTATACACAGTCTCCAATCTGTGGGCAGTCCCAGCTCTTCTCCGAGGCTGTAACTGGTTACGCTGCTGTGACACCTCCGGATGGAGAGTTTCCTTGGAGGGCAGTCAGACTGTTTCTCCTTTTGGAGAAACATTGTTTTGAGGAGAAAACCATGATGCCCGGCGGGGGAGGCTGGAGAGACTGTCTCAGGCTTTGTGTGTACTCCCGGGATGACATTTGGGGAAGGGTGCACACGTTCTTCCTGGGCAGCTTCTAATGGTGAGGATTGTTCATTGATTTCCTGGATTAGTTTCCCTGGTTGGGAACGCGGAGCCCCTCTGTCACAGGATGTGCTTAAGGTGACGAGTTCCCCAGCAGTTGGGACACATGATTGCCAGTGTAAAATGTGCCTCCTCTGCAAGGACTGGGCTGCCGGGAGCTCCCGCGTGGAGCTGTGGTGGGCAGGGTGCGACTGGCTCCTTGAGGTAAGAGGGCATCGTTTCCCGAGCTGAGGAAGAGAGCCTGTGTTGTGCCTTTTGTTCCCTGTTTTTCATTGATCGCCAGCTCTGCCTTCCAGAGGGGAGTGCAGCCCGGAGAGTGCAGAGCTGGGGAGCCTGCACCGATGACTAGGGCTCACTTGAACTCTCACACTGATTGGTTGCGGGAGACCCAGACTTGGGAAAACAGCCACCCCCAAACCTTTTACAACCACCCTGTAAATTCAGATGAGCCTCCTTGTGCACAGATTTCTGCCAGATTGATTGTTAAGTCGGGTGCCGTTTGCTCGAGGTGCCTTTAAGTTGAATTTTTTTGCCTTTATTTCTATGCAGATTAAAGTAGGCCATTTTGGTGGCAAATTTCTTTGCAGATGTCAGCGACTAGCCTACATGTAGAGACCTATCACTTTACAGTCCCTTCTAGATGGTTTTTTTTCGTCTCAGGAGTTGTAGAATGCTAAGTTATTCAACTTAGGATAATTTTTCCTACGCATTTTTTTTTAAATCTGAATATTGAAATAGCACCATCCGCGGATGGATGCTTAACTGTATCTTGACTTTGGTAATGTGTCTGTGCACTGGCATGGAGCAGGCACTAAGTTTCCGTCCACAACAGTGAAACATAAAGGCAATGAAGAGCAAACAGGCAAAATCGGCTTGCACACTATTATAAGGAATTGTGACATCTGGTTTGAGGAGAATGCATTTCAAGTCCAAGAAAAAAAGGTCACTCTTTACCTTCTAAGAATATGGGTTAGTAAATACCGTGGAATATTATATCCACAAGAGGAAAAATATAAGGCCGGTGCGGATATCTCCATTTGAGCCTTAAACCACCTCAATTAAAGGAGCAGCGTCCCATAAGTTGTTAAATGTATAAACACTTTTCTGATTGGCTTAAAAATTTAGACACAGGAAGTGGATGGTATCTAATAACCGTGAGTGGAGCCATGGTTGTCATGGAAACTGAGAAGAGTACCCCCCCCCCCATACATACACTCCCATAACCACCACTTAAAAAAAAAATCCTGCATGTCATCACAGATGCCTGGAGAACATGTTGGCCTCTGTAAGCTTTCCCACAGCATCTGTTGAAACCTGAGACTGTGCCTGTCAAATCAAGGTCATTTTACAACAACAATCAAAAATGCAGTCTCCTAGATTTCATAACTATTTTATTGAAAATATGTGAGGGGGGGAAAAAACCTGAAAGCAAGGATGAACACACGTGCTTACTTGGCATTTTGCTGCTTCTGAGTTATGCAAGGAAAGGCCAGGAAGGTATTGGAGCGCTTAATTGTGACATCAAATTGATTTGTCTGTCTCCTGCTAGAACCAAACTCTTTTTAGAGCTGTGAAGACTAGTAACATACCTGTGGAGGAAGAGTCGCCTGGGGGACGTGTAATGAAGACCTTCCGTTTGCAAGAGGGTTCGGAGTTGAACTCTCACAATTGAATTCCAAGAACCTGGGCATTTTGGAACCGGGCCCCAAGGCTGCCTACTGCAGGGGTAAATGGAGACCATGCCTGGGGCTTTGGGAAGGACAAGGAAGGTGTTTTCAATGCAGGAAGGGGAAACCGAAATTGAAATAAGAATGGTTTCAAAACTGAAACTATGATTATTTGGTGAACTTAGAAAAGTTTCCTGTTCTTTTGTGAATAGAGAAGCATGCTTTAGTTCTTAGGGTAATTGAGAGGTGCTCCCAAATCAAGGTTGTAAATATTTTCAATGTCTTGGTTGGTACTGGTTGCAGTGAGGGGAGTAAAGAAAAGTTTGGAGACACTCCTTCCCCCCCATTTCACTTTGCTAAGTGACAGATACCAAAGAGGCCCTCTCCAGAATGTTGACTTTGGGGATGAACACTGAACCTTCTAAATATAGAGCCAACGCGTTTCCTGTATTCCTCTCATCTTTCCACTGGTAGCCTTCACATGTTAAGTTCTGTGTCTTCATTCAGTAATAGCTTCCAATCATGATGATTTAGAGCCTTGTATTGCTTTATCTTAATTGAAAATGGTCACTTTTAAATCGCATTTCATTAACACTGATCTTTTTAAAAAGCAGCAAATTTGCTTTGTTTTCATCAACTAATTGCATTGGGGGAGAGAGAAGGTGGAGAGGACCCTAACATTGCTGGGGTGATTTAGGTATATTTCACGATCCCATGTTGTCCTATAGTTAATGGATTTGGTGAAAAGGTTAAGTTTCATGGCACAACTGTTCTCTTTGAGCAAAGGATTTCCTGTAGGGAGCTTTCTTATCTGTGACTGTGTTCATTGGCAGGAAACTTGTCAGTTGCTTGTTTTTACAAACAGAAGGAAATGAATGGGATTTGTTGGTTTCTAGAATCTCCCTTCATTCTCCATGGTCTGTCAGACAGTTTGCTCAGAACACTTCATTTCTGAAGGGACTTCGCGGAGCTCCATTAAGTCCCTTCAAACCTTTGGCATGCCTGTTTACTTATTTATTTACTTTGGGACCAGAAAAACTGATCGTTATGCTACCATGTAAAACGTCTTTTACCAACACAAGTTAACAAGATACTCAAGTTCCAACTCATTTTCAGTTGTCAGACGCACACATACGCACGGTAGCAGGCATTTTTTGATAGCGATGCCAAATTTCTAATAATTAGTCTGGAATACCAATCACATTGCCAGTCTTGATTTTGGGTTAACCTGGAGAGGTGAAGGGAGAGAGGCAGCTTCATTCTCTTTGAGTGTAAGGGGGAAAAAATGCATAAAGACTACCTGTCAGGTATATGCCTTCTTTTCTGATGACAAAAACTTGATGTTGAGGGAGGGTTGGATATTGGGGGTCGGGGTGGGGTTTTGCGTCCATACAAGGAAACAAATCTTAACTTTGAAAAGATTTATTGTGCCACAGTCTGGCTTATTTTTGGATATTGTAAATATAAATATATTTGTTTTAATTCATATATGTTTCAAATTTTAGAAGTAGGGTGAGCTTCTCTAAAGAAGAAAAGGACATAACCTCCATCTGAAGGGGCAGCCTGGGGTGGGTTTAGGAGCACCTGAGAGAGAGAACCATTTGTCGTTGCTATGGTGTTTACGCCCTTTTGAAGGCATCATTTTTTTATTGATATTTAGCACCAAATGAAATCTGATGTGAGACTCTAATATATGAGTGGAATGAAAACAGTTTCTTTGAGGGAACCAAGAGCCTGCTTTCACCCCCTGTGCCTGGGACATACCCTGGGACTGCTTTGGACACAAGTCAAAAAGCTTTTAAAGTGCCCAAAATATCCTCTAAAGAAGGCCGGAGGGAGTGGCTTACAGAGTCCTGGAACATCTTAGCTGCAGAGAGAACTTTTGTCTTGACAATTTAAGAGGGTGCTTGTTTTCAGAGTGAGCAGGAAAATGGTATGCAATACAATGTTTTAAAATAAGCCAGCAGGTAGATAGTGAAAGATTGGACTGGACAGAAGCATGAAAAAAGCCCTGGTCTAGTCTATAAGTAGGGAAGGACAAAGAATGTCTTACGGGGTTACGTACAAACCAGGGCCTCCTTTCCTTACAAGTCGCAGAAACATAGCACAGAGGTGTTCGAGATCCGTTGATTATGATTGTACTCAAATGCACGGATCTATTCTCTTACCACCTCAGGATATCTTATATCCCTGTTATCCTATCTGTCAGTGAAAGTTATTTCATATTAAGTGTCATTCATGAAAGTTTGCCAAACCATATAATCTGCCTGGCAGACTCACTGGTGTTTTGAGTGTTGAGTAAAATGATAACACACAGTTGTTATTTGCATATTGTCAAATACTAGAGGCCCCGTGCATGGATTTGTGCACCGGTGGGGTCCCTAGGCCTGGTCTGCAGGGATCAGGCTGAAACTGGCTCTCCGACATCTCCCAAGGGTCCCGGGTTGCGAGAGGGCAGTTCTCGGGTGACGCACCCCAGAATTGGGCTCCCTTCTCTCTGGGTCTGGGGTGCGGGTGAAGCAGATTTGGGGCCGACAGTGCCCCAGCAGCAACCTAACCCACGGCCAATTCTGGGAGGAATCGGGCTCCCT